AAAGAATACTAAACCAAGGTTTGTACTAAATTAATACAAATCATTTTTTTTCTACCATATGTACTTATTAATTTTTAACTGCAACTTGAAAATGCCATGGAGGTAGAAGTGAATTTTGAAAGAAAGCAAATCACTTGTTTCGTAAGACACTACATCTTCGACTATCAAGACAAAAACGAATCAAGTTTTGCTGTGGTGGTTGTCTATGTGAATGAGGATAATGTTGAAGATATACTGCCTGTGGATGAAACAAACACTTCCAGTCGCGAGAAAGACAAGTCGCGACTTTTCCAGTCGCGAGTCGCGACTTCAGGCCTAGAGCTACACGGACCTCTCTGTGAAGATCGCGACCTGCTACTGAAGATCGGGAGCCACGACATCCGGTCGCGAGCCGCGACAGTAACTCGCGAGTCGCGACTTCATGCTCCCAGCTGCCTAGACTTCTCTGTAAAACTCGCAAGTCGCGACTGTTGGTCGCGAGTCGCTACTTCAAGCCTCCAGATGCACGGACCTCTCTGTAAAACTCGTGAGCCGCGACTGCCAGTCACGATTCGCGGCTATGTCGCGAGTCGCGACATCATACTACCTGCGGGCCGGACTCCTCTGTAAAACTCGCGAGTCGCGACTGCAGGTCGCGAGTCACAACTTCAACCCCACGGCCTGGCGCTCCGATCATACATCTGACCTCGTGACCACGCGGACAGACTCCCGCACTCGCGACTGCACGCATGATCCTGAGACCGCGCGGGTACAGTGCTGGCCCGTGCCCTTGCGACTGCCCGTGAAGACAACCGAGACCTAGCTTATTCCGCGGACGTGAGATTACTTTGTATATTGTTTCTTGTGACATTTGACTAAGCAACCGACTTGTGGTTGCCTTGTATATCTTATTCTGCGAATGAGGAGCCGATTTCTGGCTGCACATTTCGCTTTTGTATGCCGTCTAATGGTCGACCGAACCCATTTTTGATATATATATATATATATATATATATATATATTTACATTGAACGATCGAAACAAAAAATCACTTCTGTTCACCCACATAGGCTCGACAAACAGGTTTGTAGGGTTCTATTTTTCGTTTTTCCCATCAACCCACACATATATTTTCCAAAAACAGTAGAGTCATTAATGCTGCATATGTATTTATGCACAATAGGTCACCGTGGAGGAGCAGCTTACACCAACTACACACACAGTTTTGGCCTCTATACTTGATACACCATCACCGATTGCACCTGAGAAACAAAACATAAAAGGAGTAAAAAGATCTATCGACTTTGATCTCCAACCAAGTGGAACAACTAATACAGAAGAAATTGAAGGTGATGATCCTGTGCAGGGATCAGCAAGTGGACGTTCCACTAAACGGCAGAAAAAACATGCATGAGGCCAGGCCTCCAAAATAACCCTTCTTTTGCGTAGGAGCCACATTTGGGGACAACCATAACTGCTTAAGATCTCGTGCATCATCCGTTTTGTTAACATCCAACCTTTTATGTGCATACTTTCCTCAAAATTGCCTTCTAGACTTTACTTTTAATATTTTCCAAGTTTGGATGCCGGTTCTGACTTAGTAAATATAAATATTTCTGTTCTGACATATTGGCTATTGTAATTAAGGATACCTTGAACATTGCATGAGAAACTTGTATCTGATATTTTGTACTACTCCCAGTTAATATAATGAATGCGGCTTATTATAAGGTGTTCATACATTTACAGTACAATTTGTAACCCGCATTTGTACTGGTTACCCTATCCATCAGAAATGGTCGCCCATTTGTTTTCACCTATTTTTACATTTTAACATCTTTTATTTTCTAATGTTTTCAATCTAATTTTCCAAATTATTCAATGTTGTGCTTTTTTCTAATGTGATAGTTCTCATATTACTCATTACATACACTGAAGAATTATTAAATGTGTGCACCAAAACAATAATATAACAATCTCACACAACTTTAAACAACCAACTAATGTCTCATTGAAAAACAATTGTCCACATAACGATAAAAATTACAAATCACAGAATAGCCATCTCAAAACAAACACAAAAATAAGGACACAAAGTGAATGTGCATTTTGAACCTTCAACAATTCCAGTCAAATCAACAAAATCTCTAGCATGCAGATTCTGCATCAAAACTTTGCCATCCGAGCAAAAATTTCAACTTCGTACGGCAGATCTTCAAATATCAACAAGCAACAACTCAAATCCTCGAATTCGCTGACCACATGTGAACGCCAAAATTGAATCGGAATGGGCTGCATTTAAAACATGTTTTGAGGGTAATGTTGTTAAGTAAAAAATTACTGCAAATGTAAAATAGACAGTAATTATTCAATTACCAAATATGCACGTTCGATGTACGTTTTCTTGATCTCCAAAGTAAAACGATATCGCAAAGGCCGCTTAACTGCATTTTCCTCAACCACAGTCACCATAAAATCTGCAAGACTATCACGATCAAACCAAGATATATTCGGTCATAATATTCTCTGCCATCATAAAATGTAACCACCCATCATCAAAGAATATCCGCTCATCATTCCCTCTTATTGTCACCTGATATGTACGGCCATCTCTCGTACTTAACGTACACTCATGAGGTACGACAAGCATATACTGATGGACAAGAGCGGATGGAAGTCTCTATAATATAATAATAAAAAACATCGTTCATCAGGTACATATTTTTAGGTAAATATTCATTTTAACTACAGCTAATCGCGTAAATGAATTTGACAATACATTACCATTGTTCATTCATCAGAGTTAGAAATGGCGACGAAAAATCTTTTAAAACGAGCAGACATGATCAATGACCTGTACACTTAATACACAAATACATTATCTCTAAATGAAGAAAAACATTTCACAAAAAAANAAAACAAAAACACTGTGGTTGTTAAACTAAAATACACATTGATAGCCATACACATTATACCAAAAGTAATATCACCTTCAAGCCTACAAAAAAAAAAAATTACTTATACAAACACATTATACCAAAAGGTAATAGCACCTTCAAGCCTGGAACAAAAAAATACAAATACTTATACAAAGATTAAGAAAAAGTGTATAATCATAAAATTAACTGTATGGTCTCTTTCACCTATCTGTAATTTACACTTTCCTTCCCATAAAAATGAAACCAAAAATAAAACAAACCCAAGCACCATTTTGGATTCTTCAAACCACACATCTATACACAATTTCTAAACACGTTCATAATCAATCATTTACACTTTATTATCAATAAAATTCAATTAACATATTTTTGAACTCTAAATTGGTACAACCCGAAAATCAGTCCACCCCCAAATTTGTAACAAATTTTAAGCACCAATATTAACAGTATTATGTTTAAGCAACGAGATAGACAAAAGGTAAAAACCTTGGGATCACAACCGGCTTTGCAAATACAAGAAAAACAATGAATCCTTTATGCTCTTTTCTTCTTGCCAGAGATGCGGGCAGCGCAATTGAAGACAGAGTCTTCAAGAGAAAAAAAAAAAAGACTTCCCACAAATGACTTGTTAAGACTAATAGCCAGATTTTATAAACATATCAGTCCACATTTTTTATTTTTATTTTTTTGTTCATCTTTAATTTGACCAAGTTTTAATTACAATTATCTTTATAAAAAAAATATAAATTTAATAACATTCAATGACCCACCAAAACTGTTACCTACTATCAACTATAATAGCTAACATTTACAACAACTCAATTTAATGACACACCAAAAGTGTTACCTACTTACAGCTATAATAATTAAACATTTATACAAAATAAACTACTCTTTCCAATCTCAACCGAAAAATAGTTTTTAAAACCATATGGGCCGACTGTTCTATGCACAGTCGGTACGTTTCTAGTTTGATGAGTATAAAAAAATGAGAGGTTTGGTGTCATCAACTTCTACTTCATCGTCTTCTTCGAATATCTCGAGTGTAATGGATTAAAAGATGTGAATCCAAGAGTTGATATCTGGGATTGTGCTAAAGGAATCAGAGCTAGATACGTATCTAAATGAACACTTGGAAAAAGCTTCGAAAGGTTTCGATGTATTGGAGTGGTGGAAATTTAATAGTCGTAGGTTTCCCATTTTATCCAAATTTAATAGTCATAACTGGACAAGGAAATGAGAGAGTCAATAATACAAAACAAGAAAGAAAAAAGGTCACTCAAGAAAACAACAAAAAGACTATCAAAGAGATGAAGGAATTTCAAGCCGAAAGGAACAAAAATCTTATTAAAACAACTTTTTCTAAAATGAGTACAAAAACTAGTTCTTTTGTTTAGGTTTCGTTGTTGTGGGAAGGGCTCTAGTTCTTTTGTTTTGTGTTTTATTATTGTGTTTGTGTTTTGTGGGTGTCTTGTTTTGTGTGATGTGTTTTGTTTTCTCCTTTATAAGAGGAGTGTGTTATTCTCCTTAGAGGAGTTTGTGCATTCTCCTATAGGGAGTTTTTTTATTTTTCTCTTTTGTCTTGTGGCGTGTGTTGTGGATTCTAGGCTGCCTAATGTAGTCCTCCCATTCCGGTTATTCAGTCAGCTGTAATTATGTGTTTCAGTTAATGAATCTATCGTTTAACAAAAACTAAAAAGAATGTACCTCAAGAGGATCGGCCTTGGAGGACATAAAATAAACTGGAAGAAATAATATGTGGCATAAGAGAGACAAATAATGATATCAATATGAGGATTGGGCAGGTGCACAGGGATTAGAGGAACTTGAAGAGAGACAAGTAAAGGAGTAAAATGAGAAACTAGTGTGCAACATGTCCAATTGCCAAAGTTAGGGCTTCCAAATAGAGGAATAGAAACAAGAGAGGAGGAAAATGAAAAGGCCTAATTGCCGGAAAAAGCACGACCTTACAACTTTTTGCAGTTTTAACCAAACTTTTGGAATTTAGCACGAAAAACCTAACCTTGTCTAATGTTTGCAACCCGAACCCAAAATGAAACGGCCGTCTCATTTTTGCCACCGTGTCCGTTAGCTTTACCTATGTGGCCAAACGTGCTGCTGACGTGGTAAACCACTACAAACCAGTATAAATACACGCATTTTCCCCCAAATCAAACCCGATTTCCCATTTTCTTCCTCAAAATCAAACCCTAATTTTGAAGATTTTTTCCCAAAATCCAGCAGCTTCATCACTCTATCGTGTTCTTCCCCAAAATCCAGTAGCTTCATCCCAATTTAGTCGTACAAGTATCAACATTTATTGAACCCTAATTTTCGATCGTGTTTTTCACGATTTCGCAGCTTCGATCCGTGTTCTTCCCCAAATTGTTGCCCTAATTTCGCAGCTCCATCCTCTGAAAATGTCGTACGCGTCTCGTACAAGCCCTAATTCGCAACATAGCGCTTCATCCAATATCCCCGTGCGGAGGCTGTGCGGCTGTTTGGATGAGGCCGATGTTTTCACCTCTGGCACTGACGACAATCCATGTCGGAGGTTTTACAGGTGTCCAAATAGAAAGGTAGTTTATTATTGTATTTTGTTCTGCAATTTTACGGCAATTTTGTTCAGAATGGGTGGATACACATATGGTTTTTAACCAAACTTTTTGGAACAGGTAAAAGATTGTGGTTTGTTTGATTGGATTGATCCCGCATTGCCTGAGTTCCAAAGGACATGCTTCATCAGATTGAAGGCTGAAAAAAAGGCTTTAGAAGAAAAGTTACGGGCCATGGAAAAACAGCACAATGATAGGTCGGGTGTGAAAGAAGTAAGCTTGTCTTCACTTGAGGAGCTTGAAAACAAAGTGGCAGGGCTTGAGGTTGATGGTCACAAGAATGCTGAAGTACTTATGGTTCTTGAAAACAAAGTGGCAGGGCTTGAGGTTGATGGTCACAAGAATGCTGAAGCACTTATGGTTCTTGAAAACAAAGTGACAGGGCTTGAGGTTGATGGTCACAAGAATGCTGAAGTACTTTTGGTTCTTGAGAAGACCTTAACTCAAGTAAAAAACCTTGAAAGGAAAATGTATGTATTGATGATTGGTTTGATTGTTGTTGTTATGGTTGTTGTGATGGTGTTTGGTAGAAATGGGTATGTCCATTAGCTGAAGATGAACTGATGTGTTTGGTAAAAATGGCTATGATCTTGTTGTGATTGTGATTGTTGTTGTTATGGTTCTTGTTGTGATTGTGTTTTGGTAGAATTATGTTTGGTTGATATATGTAATGGAATTGAAAACCTTTTGCACGAATGTATTATTATTACAAGAATTATCTTATTTCTGTTATTGTGCATATTATTATTACAAGAAATGAAAGCCTATGCATTTTTATGTTACAAGAATTGACATGGCATAATATCACATGAATTCCAAAGAACGCTTCCTTTTCAATAAACAGAGCACATTCAAAGAACAAAACACTTCATTTAAGTGATTTTCACATAACGACACACATAAATATCCCATAACACATCCAGATCCCACAAAACTCAAAAACACATCCACAAGATCAGTTCAAACTACTGAGTCTCCACACACAAAACCAACACACCCCAAAAATAGCAAAATCAGTTTAATGGTACCACATCAGTTCAACAATACTACATCTTAATTTCCAGCCTCACTCTCTTGAGTGCATATGAAGTCCCCTGTACTTTGCCCTCTTCCTCTTCCTCTAGCAGTGGTAGACCCACTACTTTGCCCTCTTCCTCTTCCTCTAGCAGTGGTAGACCCACTCCTCTGCCCTCTTCCTCTTCCTCTACCAGTGGTTGACCCACTGCTTTGCCCTCTGGTTGTGCCACTGCTTTGGCCTGTTTCTCTAGCAGTGTTTGAAATCACATGAATCTTTTTTGCAGATGACAACTGCATTATATTATATAATAATTACCGCATATGTTAGTCAATAAATATATTATATTATATTATATTTCAGAAATAGTGAATTCTTATAAAAAACCATACCTTCATGTAAACATTACCAGTTTCCTCCGATTGCAAGATACCAAAACCTTTCCTTGCCTGCCAAACAAATGAACAAAATAATTGAGTTGTCTAGTATTGGTACCAATTTCAGAAAATTTCCATATAAAAGTACTACCAAGGCTCTTTCTTTTTGTATGACTGATGAGCGTTGACTGCACCTCCTAACCGGCAGATTATTTATCTTCTCAACAGACCGGGTTGTCATCCTCTGAACTGGTGGTCTTGTCAGCCTCTCAACTGGTGGGCTTGTCATTGTCTCAGATGGTGGGCTTGTCATGGTCTCAGTTTGGGGTGGTTGAACCACAGTGTGGGGTGCAGTATGCTGTCTGGGCCTTCCTCTTGGGTTCTGTACAAAGAAAATTACCATGATTAAAGAATGTAAAAAAAATAAATAACTAAAACTTAGTACTATGAATGAATAGAAATTTAAACCACAGTGTGGGGTGCAGTATGCTTTCTGGGCCTTCCCTTTGGCTTCTGTACAAAGAAAAATGACAATGATTAAAGAATGTAAAGAAATAAATAACAAAATCTTAGTACTATGAATGAATAGAAATTTAAACCTTAGCAGGTTTCTCAACTTCAGGCAAGATGCATGATTTCTTGTTATGCCCCTTTTGCAAACACCTTTGACATGTCATAATCAGCCCAAACCTTCTCAACTTGCCTACACTTGTGGCTTCTTCCTCAGGAGCCCTTCTTCTTTTTTTCTTAGGTCTTCCAGGCATCTTCTTGAAAGGAGGGGGTAAGATTGGATAACCTTCTGCAGCTGGCCACATTTTTTTTTGCATTTATGGGCTATACATACTCAAGTACCTCTCAGTATAGAAATACTCAGACACAAAGTCTGCAGGATCTTTATGCTGAAAGTGTAATGCTGAGCAAGCATGCACACAAGGTATCCCTGTTATATCCCATTGTCTACAAGTACATGTATTATTCCTCAAATCCACCACAAACTGATCATCTTCTAAAGCAACCTGAAACCTATCACCAACTGCAGGCTTTGTGACACACACTCTTGACAAATATTTGTTCTGTTCTACCTTTGATCTTATTCTAGGACAAAGCTTGTCAGGATGTCCACTCAACTCCATCAATTTCCCATGTTGTCTATTCATTAGTTCAGTCCTTACAAATTCAAGCATCTCAATGATGTGGCTTCCTCTTCCCTTAACTATAAACCCATTGAAAGTCTCACTAACATTATTTTCTATCATATCACACCTAGGAAGAGAAGAGACAAAAGCCTTACAAAACTTTGAAGGATCTTTCTTGATAAATTCTTCATAAGCTTGTTTGCATTCTGCCTTCAAGTCCTCCAAAGCAATGTTGTAGTCTCCAAGGTGAGTGCTTAGAACAATTCTCCAGAACAAATTTTTCAAAGTTTGCCCCTTGAATTGCTTCTTCCATTTCATGTAGACATGTCGAGCACAATTTCTGTGCTCAGCATTTGGAGCCAAGTCCCTCAGAGCATTCAACAAACCCTACAAACAAAAAATTATTTAGAACATGCTAATGTTTGAAATTAAGAACAAAAACTCAAAATTGCATAGAATATTAACCTTTTGTTGGTCTGAAATGAAAGTATATCCTAAGCCTTCCCTTATACCCACTTCTGCAAACAAAATTGAGAGAAGCCACTTCCAACACTCTTCATTTTCAGCCTCAACCACAGCCCAAGCCACTGGATAAATTTGATTGTTACCATCTTTGGCAATGGCACATAACAAGGCTCCTCCTAAGAAAGTTTTCAAAAAACATCCATCAAATCCAAGGATGGGTCTGCAGCCATTGGTGAATCCCTTTCTTAGAGTACTAAAACCCACATAAAAGCCTCTTAATGTGGTATTTTCCCCAAGTAAGAACTCAAACCTGCCCTCTCTATCCACCCTCATCAACTCAGCCATATAACTTCTCAGAAAGGAGTAATGTTCTATGACAGAACCTCTAAGCATTTCAAGTGCTTTCCACTTTGCTTTATAAAGTTTCCATTTTGTAGGTACAACTGCAAACTTTTCAGAAATTGCTTCTTCCAATTGTGCAACTGTCATGTTTGGATTCCTTCTGAATTTTTCACCAAACTCTTCAGCAATCCACTGAGCAGTGAGTTGTCTAGTGTGCACATTCCTATGACAGACATGATCTTTATGCAGTTGTTTTATAGCCACACTACCTTCTCTTTCAATCACACTGGCATAAAGTCTCCAAGGGCAGCCATCTTGACATCTAGCTTCCAATTGCCTTTTGTTACACCTCATATTCTGAATATCTCTACCTTGCACAATTGCCACCCTTCTCACGGCTCTCTTGCATTGATCAATTGTTTCAAACCTCATGCCAAGCTGAAACTCAAGTGCATTATGATCACACTTGGGATCATACAATAACCTTGTCCTCTTTTTAACAAAATTCCCTTCCAAATCCATTTCTCTATCACTATCTGACTCATCAGAGATTAGTGCATTATGTAACAATTCATCCTCTTCAAAGTCCATCTCAGCTGTGGCCATTGGATGTGTATAGCCTGCATCATCATCCCAATCTTGAACTTTTTTCCTAGACTCCTTTAAGTTCTTTCTTGCCTGAACATATTCATCATCATCAGAAAGATGATCATCAGAAAGGTCATCATCTGATGAACTCACCCCAGTTGGAAAATAATCTTCATCATCAGATGACTCTTGTGACCCCAACCCAGCACATGCACTATTAGTTTCTGCATCACCTTCACCATGTTCAACAGAAGTGAAGTTGTCAATAATATCATTAATATCCTCCAACTGGCCTGCAGGCTCTTCCTCAATTGATGCCTCAGCCTGACTCAAACCATTCACCTCTTCCCCATCATCAGTATCTTGCTGGCTAGAAGATTTTGTCTGGAATGATGCCTCAACATTCTCATCTGCTTCATCATCAATAATGTCACCACCAACCACATAAATCTGAACTATAGTTTTGTTATTCTTACCACAACTAATCATCTCCATAACCTCTTTATCATCAATTACATCTCTCAAACTATCAGCTCCAACACCAGCATTGGGTATTCTATACACAATTTTTTCATACTTGTTAACTCCCAACTTCTTAATTTCTTCTTGTAGGTCAAAGTAGCCAAATCTATCAGCATCTAACCCATAAATACTCTTTAAACTACCACATATATACTCCACAACAGGTCCACAGTTCACAAAATAACCTCCAATATTGACAATCAATGCAAATTTGTCTCTGCAATTAATTAAACATAGAAAAAAAAATCAATAACAATTTTATAATTAGCCTCAATTCTAACATAACCCTAATTCTGTCATAACCCTAATTTAAATATGATTTACAATAACAAAAAACTGTAAGCAATTTGAAATTGTTCGAAACCCTAATTTCAAAATGAATGTACAATAAATAAACTGTAACCAATTCAAAATTGTTCGAAACCCTAATCTTGATCAACCCTAATTTTAAAATAAAACCCTAATTTGAAGAGAAACCCTAAATTGACAAACAAATTTTCATTCTTTCGAAACAAAATTAACACTGGATCACTAATTAATATAAAACTAACACTGGATTAAAAATTCACAAACAAACAAAATGTTCCCAGCAAATTTCGAATTCCAACGATGACTTTGAATTTCAAAATTTCGACAACAAATTAAAAAAATAAAGGATTGGCATACCTGTCGGTCATAATCGCTTCAATGGGACCGCAATTTGTGCGTTTCGACGACAAGATTGTGAGCTTCGACAACAATGGGACCACAATGTTTTCAAAGAGAGAAAAAAAAATTTCGAAGTCTGAAAGTCATGAAAATGGGAAATCGGGTTTGATTTGGGGGAAAATGCGTGTATTTATACTGGTTTGTAGTGGTTTACCACGTCAGCAGCACGTTTGGCCACATAGGTAAAGCTAACGGACACGGTGGCAAAAATGAGACGGCCGTTTCATTTTGGGTTCGGGTTGCAAACATTAGACAAGGTTAGGTTTTTTGTGCTAAATTCCAAAAGTTTGGTTAAAACTGCAAAAAGTTGTAAGGTCGTGCTTTTTCCGGCAATTAGGCCAAATGAAAATAAAGAGCACTCACTTCAGACGGTTAGTAATTTGAATAGAGTTAAAGAAGAAAGATTGGAGAAAATAAGAGAGGAAAGAGCTCAAAGAAAGAGAAAAAAAAACATAACAAGCAAAAATGATTAAGGTTGAGGCAAATAAAAGGGGTTTGGACCTAGGAGAGGACTTATTAGAAGTTGATAGAGGTATGGTGAAAAAACTGAAATGTCACGGGAGAAA